CAACACTTCTACCTCAAAGCCAGGGACCCCTCCATGTACCTTGTAACTCATCTTCCCGACTCGGACAAGGGGTACAAGGACGATATTCTTATCTTCAAGGGATCTTGGCAGAGCGGTGTTGGTCCCGAGTATAACGACTTGTTATGCCCTTTGGAATGGAGAACGACAAGTATGTCGGTTCCTTCGGGTTTATTATTTTGTTCTCCAGATTTCTCATATTCATGACTACTTTTTTGTTTGTGCAGATGTCCCTGCTCGGGAAACAGCTCATCCCCCTCGGTCGCTGGTGAACTTTGCCGACCTAGTCACGGTTTGAAGATTTACTGGTGACAACGAGTTCGGTCGGGCTGCCCACATCTTGCTGAATTACACCCCCGGGTATAAGAAATTTTCACAGCTTCCTCAGCCTTTTGAGCCTTCGCGGTGGTCTGAACTCTTCGATCAGGCGGCGAGGCAAGAGGTCGAGGAAAACTTGGAAGAAGACCCTGATCGGGCTTTGAAGGCAGAAGTAGAGGGAGAAGTTGAAGAGCTCGAGGTCAGAGAGGACTTTGTTCCTTCGGACGCCGAGGTGGGGACTTCGGGAGGAGATTTGTGGCCGGACTTCCAAGTTCTACAATCTCTAGACGCCGAGGACGCCCTCGAGGTCGCGATGTCCAGCACGCCTCGCATTGACCTGGGGTTCCTGAGGCAGAGGCAAGCCCTTGCTGCCGGGAGGGGTCGAGGATCGACCGGCGGCGCCCCATCTGCAGGGACNTCCAAATCTTACAATCTCTAGACGCCGAGGACGCCCTCGAGGTCGTGATGTCCAGCACGCCTCGTATTGACCTGGGGTTCCTGAGGCAGAGGCAAGCCCTTGCTGCCGGGAGGGGACGAGGATCGACCGGCGGCGCCCCATCTGCAGGGACCAGTTCCACCCCATCCTCAAGAGTTCTCAGTCGGGGTCAAGTGCGTGACCGGGATCCTCAGGTAGAGGAGGAGAGAAGGGTCAAACATAGGCACGATGGCCTCGGCAGAGGATCCAGGGCATCTTCCGCTCAGCAGCAAAGCGGGAGAGGCCATGGGTTACCCCCTGCTCCTCCGCAACAACAGTAACAGCAACAGCAACGACAACAGCAACAACGGCAGCAGCAGACTCCCCCTTCCCCTCCGCCGACAGTGGAAGCCGCGGAGTGGAATCCCCGAGCCACCGATCACATGAACCGAGTGATCAGGGTCGATGACTCCATTTTGCTGGACCCCCATGTCGCCAATGCAGTGGGTGAGACGCTGCATTTCGAGGCCGACATGGTGGCTCATAGGGGGCGATCAACGAACGTGTTGTTTCACTCTATCATCCAGAATTCCCCGGTGGTAAGTTCATTTTTGCTTCGGTTTCTTCTCTCTCGCTTTCCATTTTTGTGACACACCTTTTTCCTTCTTTGCAGGCCACTCAACAGATCTCCATAATAGTTGCGCGGTATCATGGGTCTAGGATGGACCTCCAGCGGGTCCGAGAGCAGAAGGAAGAAGCGGAGGAGGCCCTCGCCAGAGCTATGGAGGACGTAGCTGCCAGGGATTCTACCCTAGCGGGGCAGACTGCTCAAATCGAACAACTCCTCAAGGATGCCGAGTTGGCTAAGGTTGGCGCTGAAAAGCTAAGTGCTGCCCTTGCCGATGCTGAGGGGAGGATCACCGAGCAGACGCGGCGGCTCTCTGCGGCGGAGGAGAGGGCGGTTGGCTCAGAGGAAAGCTGTCTGGCTCTNCTGATCCCCCTGACCTGATTCCCATACTGGTTTGAGGGGTAACCCCTCTTGACCGAGTAGAGGCACTTTTATTCGTATTGGTGTGATCCCTCCCTCCGTGATGACAGGGAGCTTGTAACTCGAGACTCCTTTGGTGGGGGCCTTTCCCTTTCTGTCGAGTGTTCACCATGGTCACTGTTCTTTATAGAGAAAAAACTAGGAAAACTAGTCGTTTCCCACAGACGGCGCCAGATTGTGCGTACACGATCCTGCACAATATAAAAACGAGAACAAATCTCTCCCTTGGTGAACTCGAGTGAGTCAGTTGAGTGGCCAACCACGTTGCTTAGAACAGCCTGCGAGGTCCGGTGGTAACCTGGAACGGCAACGGGAGACCCTCGGGGAGCGGAAGAACAATCCAGTAAGGTTGAAAGAAAGGTTCCTGGAACAAAGAAGAACAAGTTAGAAGGGCGCCGAAGTGTTTTCCGGCGTATCCCCTCCGACGATCTAGTCAGTCTTTGAGAGGGAGAGGAAGAAGAAAACACTGAGTGTGTATTGCAGCAAAGGTTTTTTTCTTGCGTATCGTCTTGCCTTTTGCGAGGAGTATTTATACCTCAAAAGCTCATGATTGCTGTCAGTGTAGTCAGTAGGTGATCATTAGGTACA